CTGGAGATTAAGATCTTGAACTGGACTGGAGTCTGGATTTTGATTGAGGTTTGTTTTGAATTGAGATCTGGGTTAGCTTAAGGCCAGGATTGGTTTGAAGTCTAGATTTATCCTAGAATCTAAAGGGATTCTAGGGTTTAGGTCTTAGAGGAGTCATAGGTTCTAGATAGGTCCTATGATCTAGGCTCCTAAAGAATCCTAAGACCTATATAGATCTTAAGGTCTGGATCTAGGAGAATCCTAGAGTCTAGGATAAATCTTAAAGTCTGAAATCTAAAAGAGTCATAAGATCTAAAATAAATCTTAAGATATAGATTTATCTGGAGGAATCCTAGGATCTATCGTAGAACATAGGATCTAAAATCTAGAAGGATCTTAGGATTCAGGAAAATCCTAGGGTCTGGATTAATCTGGGATCAGGATTAATCTAAGGGTCAAGATTGACCCAAGTGACCTCATACAAAAATGAGGTCAACAAGGTCTACCTCTACCTTTCTTAACATAAGTTAAATCTAATACATCTACTTTCTAATTGGGTCATCGGAAGGCCGCCACTTTATGTGACCAAACCATCTAAGGCGACTCACTCTAATCTTACCTTCCACTGGAGCTACTCCAACTTTTTCACATATATGCTCATTTCGTATCCTGTCTCTAACACGAAAGCCACTCATCCACCTGAGCATCATCATTTTTGCAACAATTAACTTAATATTATGTTTCTCTTTTAATGGCCAACATTTTGCGCCAAAAAGCATTGCAGGTCTCACCACAATTTTTATAGAATTTTCCCTTAAGTTTGAGGAGTACTTTTATATCACACAACAAGCTCGATGCATTCCTCCACTTCAACCATCCAACATGCATTATACTAATAATATCCCCATCTATTTCACCATAACTCTGGATAATATACCCAAAATATATGTAACATGTACTCTTATTAATGACTTGATCGTCCAAAGTCACAATCACTCCACTAGAACTATTACTATTAAAATTATACTCCATATGTAGAACTTTATCAAAGGCTTTCTTTATCAAACCTCTCAATAAATGTATAGCTTCCATAGAAGACCTACCTGGCATGAATCCAAATAAATTTTGAGAAACATTAGTATCACGCCGCAATCTATGCTCCATAACTCTCTCCCATAGTTTTAAAGTATGACACATTAACTTAATTCCTCTATAATTCAAAAAATCTTATGCATCGCCTTTATTCTTAAAAATAGGAATCAACACACTCATTCTCTACTTGAACTAAATCTTTATTACTCTTATGTCCTTGTTTTGCTAATTTCTAATTATATTTTTCACCCTCATTAGTATCTAATCTATTATATAAATCAATCTTAAAAATAGGAATCAACACACTCATTCTCTACTTGAACTAAATCTTTATTACTCTTATGTCTTTGTTTGGCTAATTTCTAATTATATTTTTCACCCTCATTAATATCAAATCTATTATATAAATCAATAAAAGCTAAAAATCTTTGTATTGCATATTACATTCTTATACTCCTTACGGACTTCTTTATATCTTTCCCAATTATCATAATTTTTACATCTAAAATAATTTTTATAACAAATTTTCTTATTTTTTATTTTTTCTTGTATATTTTGATTCAACCACCTACTATTTTTACTATTTAGAGATTTTCTCTTTAATACTCCAAGAACATCTTTTACAACATTTTTAATATCACTAGCTACTATATAAGGAAAGGGACATTAAAAAACTCAAGAAGACCATACACTCTACATAAAACACTACTAAAATGGGAGTGACAATTCTTATTATATATATCAATGGCATAATTGTTTATAGGTGGTGATAATAATAATAATAATAATAATAATAATAAAACTCATTGAATAATTTGAGATCAATTATCTCAAGAAGCTAAAACACTTTCCTCGATATAAAACTAGTTAAATTATAAAAAGATATTTATCTAACAGCACGAATATGTGAAAAATCCATTAAGAGAAACAAATATGATAAATTTCAAGGAAAAAAAACTCCATTAAAATCAGGCCAGAACTAAGCACAAATGATGAAAGAGTAGAAATTGACAAAAGGGCAATGTGGTCTCTAAAAATTCGTGCTTCGACCTCTCCACGCCTCTTTTTGTCAACGAGGAGAATTTCAACGAATTTAGGTTCTGGGATCAAAAGGCAGATTAGGTTTTAGATAAGAAATTACCCGAAAATTCGCCCTCATTTTGCGAGTATTTTATGATCTGAGTTCGGGTTTCCCATAGGCACAACCCCTATGGTCCTCTCGAGATAATGAGAAAGAACTTTTTATTAAGGCTAGTCATTAAATAGGACGTAATAACTACCTAACATATAATAGAAACAATTTTATAATTTGAATTTAATTTTGAATTTTTTAGTTTATGATTTGAAATTTATCATCATATAATTAAAGCGAGTAACGGGGGAATGATGACGGTTGGATTAAAATCACATGGTTCTGTCGTCCCTGACTATCATGGTCCTTAGTCTACTTAGTCTGCGGAGGCAGTCAACCCAGCCTGATTGAAAGAACCTTGTCGGCAGCCATGAGTTGCTACGTCTAAGGACACCTTATATAAAACTAGAAAGGATGTTTGTCTAAGGGGTTGAATTTAAGTCAATCTTAGCTAAAAAAAGTGTTTTCTATCTTATACAGCGCACCATATAATTCATTACTAAAGGGACTTTTAACCATTAGCGAATATAGAGGTTTTGGCCGTGACCGTTATATGGTGGTGTCATTATATGACAAAATTAACCGGTAAAAGGGCATTTGTCACATCCCTGCAGGAAAGAAGTTAATTGAGAATGAATTGTAGTAATTGAGAATTAAGTTGATCAATTTTCTTATATCTTGGAGTGCAAAATCTTAATGAACTATTGAAATTACTTAATTTGTTAAGGACTTTAACACTAGTTTTGGTTCTTAATATATTAACTTTCTCTAGACAAGGAGGATCGTCCATATAACAACGTATAGGACCTAATATGCATACATCATACACTGAGCCAACTCCAAATTGAATCAGTTTATTTTCAAGCAAGCAAATCATTTTGCCCTCTGTTTTTTTAATCAATTGAAATGACACATATTTATTTATTATTTATTTAAATCATTTAAAATGATACAAATTTGTTTAGAATTAATTAACCTGGGGATCTTTTGTTATTTAATTCTCATTTTTTCTCAACTGGGTCAAAAATATAACAGACAGGATCTTCTGTACATGTTATTTAAGCAAGCAAGAAAGGAATTTATGCTATTTTAGTGTAAAAAGATTGATGATGACAGCAACAGGGCGGGCAGAGAGAGATGAAGGGGCTTGCTCCCTACATGCGGTCGAGTGAGAGAGGAGGGCCAACGGCTAGGTGTGCCAGCTCGAGAACAAATCATGCAAGACGATTCAGATGGTTGGAGGTCGGGACGCGACTGGGACACGGGACTAGAGATCGGCCTTGAATTGGAGACGAACGTGGGTGTCAAGTCGGAGGTGCAGGCCGCGTGAGGCACAAAGGAGTTGAATGGGGCTTCTTTGTCTAGACTTTTGCGTGCGGTAGATAGATAACAAGGGAGAGGGAGTTCAAGTGCCTGGGTTCCTGTGTGCAGCATCCAGTGAAAACAAGAGAGGGAGCACATGCATTAGAGACGGAGAGGGGCAAGCGCGAGAATGTCGAATGGCCCCAGAATGGTTCCTACATGTGGTACAAAGGAAATGAGAGAGTGGGCAAGCGGTTTCGACTGCTAGGGTGCTTCCCTCGTGTGTGTTTAACTGAGAGGAGTCGAGTGGGAGTCCTCTTCTGGCTACCATAATTTGAGGGAGTTATGAGGAGTTAGTGGGTCAGTGGTCAACATACGATAGCAAAAGTTAGTTAAAAACTAATCTAATTATCCCATATTTTTATTATATTGCATTTTCAATAAGTCTGATAACTCAATTCATACACAATTCAAAAGCAATCTCACCTTCATGCTATTTATAGAGTTCTCGAGCATTTAAAATTTAACCCAGAAAAAGGGTACCTAATAAAAATATGAAATGAAAGAACTAGAATGCTTATATTAATGCTGACTATGCGGGGTCACAAGTGGATAGATGATCAACTTTAAGATATCACACATCACTCACAAGAAATATTGTAGCAAGAAATATTGTAGCATGGAGAAATACAAAACAGCATACAGTCTCAAAATCAAGAGCAGAATCTGAGTGCAGCGCAATTGCCCAAGAAGTTCATGAATTGTTGTTGTTAAAAATTGTGAACTCACTAAAGAGCTTTGCAATCCAGCATTGAATAAATATTTTGAACAAACTACAAATGATGGATCTCTACAAACTAATTTGAGCGGGGATGTTGACAAATCGCAGAATGTCAAAAAAAAAAGGAAAATAGGAACCAAGCCTGTGTTTATGGCATCCTCCATCCCACAAATTACCAAGGTATAGGTACCAAAGTCCATGAATTCAAGGGGTTGAAATTCAATAAGGCAAGGGGCTACTAATAAGCTGGCCTTTCCGAGATTTCAAAATAAATGATTGTAATTACTTTTCTACCGAGAATTCTATATATTTCTAATGTAGCCTAGGTAGCTCTTTGTATAAACAACACTTAAATGAATGAGAAATACAGAAATTTTTACCACTCCCCTCTTTTCTATAGTTAATAAATAGGAAAATTATAATCCATTTATTAAAGAACTACCATTATCATAATAGATGCCATGAATTCCGTTTAATAGTTCTAGTCAATTTGAAATCAGATTCATGATGGACTGAAAAAGCCCACAATTTAGAAAGAAAAGCTACATTTGCGGCAAAAAACACACTGATGGGGCAAAAAAAATTTGTTCTTCAAGGCTGACCAGTGGCATTTAGATTTAGTAAACTAGTGTATAAAAACATGCTGATAAAAAAATTCTACAAACACTTTTACATTCACATAAACAAGTGTTGTGTTATCAAATTTTAACTTACCTGAATTTCAATAACAAAGGTTCGAGACCCATCTACAACAATTGCAAGCGCAAGTCCAGCCAAGACATCTGAATCGGAGTAATTCTCACTTAGAAACATTTCATTAGGATTGGAGACTGCCTGAAGGCCTGATTCCGTCATTTCAAGCAAGCCAAGCTGGCAGAAAGAAAGTTCTTTAATTTATCCTGAATATAATAAAAAAATAAATAATTTAGTAGTTTAAATTCAGAATGCAATATAATTGGATAGTCTATGTCCATGCTTTCACAACTTCATCATACTTCAGAAACCTTTCCGTGGCACAACAACAAATAAGAATCCAGAAATAATAAATATAATTGTGATTGACACTTAATTTCATCTGTAACATCATGGCAACTAGTAACACAGCAGAGCAACAGAAAAAGGATATAGGCAAAATAGTCTGCCAAGTTAATCCCAATTCGCAAACAATGGCTTACGTGGTATGTATGGTCTTTAGCTCTTGCATTTTGCAGACTAACACAAGTACTTATGGCTTATTCTATTATAATTAAGCATATTCACACTATTCGTTCATTTAGTTTCTAATATAAATATTAACATTTTGAATCTCAGAAGTTCGTAATATTCCAAAGCTATACTAACTATTAAGATAATAAAGTTTTGTTAAGATCCTGAACTAAACTAATAATTGCTTTTTTGGTCAAGATAGCTACCTACAAAAAAAAGGTATAAAATAGCCTAACAACATCACATGCTCCAACTACTAAGAGAGTTTTTTCTCCCAAATATTTTACTTTCTTTTTCTAGTTGAGATCGCTTGTTATTTTTATATAATTTTAACCATGGAAGATAAGCCTAGCTTAATTAAGTTTCCATATGAAGGTACTATTAATCATCAACCTTAACGCAAAAGAAAACAGAACAATGCATATGCCATCTACAGAAACCATGGTTAATAATTAGCGAAAGGTAATTGAAGATTAATAAAGAACCATTTAAAAAATAAGCCAAAAAAATCAACTTGCATTACCTCATCTGTTGAACCAAAACGGTTCTTCACTGATCGCAACAACCGATAAGATGAATACCTCTCCCCCTGAAATATGGTACAGGTTTACAATCATGTAATATTCATATAGCAATATTCATTCTAGCAGATAAAGTTTTCAATCTGAATTGTGAGAAAAAAAGAATAGCAATTCGAAGTCAGTGAAGTAGCACGCAAAGAGGTTGCAACAACCTTCCATATGCTATGAACAAAAAAGAAATTCTAACATCTGGTTCACAAGCAATAGTTAAAATGACCTTTTTGTCAATAAAATATCGAGTTGTTCAGCCAAGCACAAGCTCAAGAATATCAATTAATCAGAGCAAGAGAAAAAGGAAAATGATAAAACAAGAACGTTAGCAACAAATCAATGAAGATCCTAAGAAAAAAGGTGTACCTAGAGCATGAGGATCACGCCAATATGGAACTAAGGGAGGGATTGATGTTGAAGTTCTATTTAGAACCCAATTCTATATTAAGATTGGAACAGCATTTCAAATACCAAGCAACACAAATATAACAAAATACCTTAAGAAAACAATTTTATGGACATGGCTATAGATTAAAATCCAATCACTAGTTTTCCCTGCATATGCATTACCATGCAAGTATTTGAAAAATGTGTGTTTTTGAACGATGAATTGCCAGGCAACAATCATTGACTGCTTCAATGAGATTCTACCATATTACTCAACATTTGGGTGGGGCCATATTTTAACAATGCTTAGTAAAACCGTAACCCCATGCTGTAAATAATGACTTGAAAAAAGATGTCATGCAAGAAGTACATTGATACATTGTGCATGGCAGAATATTGAGGCAAATAGAAAATTCAAAGAAAAAGAAAATGATACTCAAATAAAAATTCCTCAGGTATTGTGGTAAAATTCTTAATAAAAAATGTTGAAAACCCAAAGCACGAAAACAGGGATGTAAATCCTCAAGCATCCACAACAGTGAGACATTCTGGAGCTACTCAACATTTCATTTAATACAATTTCACTCCAAATACAAGAAAAAGAATCTGATTTATAAAAATAAAGTTACAAAAAATAAAATCAAATAATATGTAACCAAATTTAACCTTATCCAAAATTAAATTTACAACTAAGATATTCAAATTAATGATTCTCCATAAAGATACTTCAACTAGATTTAAAATATAAAAAATCTAATAAATTCTAAAACCTACAGTCAGGAATAAAGGAATTTGGTATCCATTATTTAGTAAGAGTAATCCTTTTTTATAATAGAGAATCAAATACAATTTTTAGAGGTACAATAAAATAATTATAATCCACTAGCTACAAATAGGAAACTTTTCTAAAGTACTTTGCAGATGTTAGCACTCCCTCTCAAGTTGGAGCATCAATACAAATAAGCTCCAGTTTGTTTCATAGTTTGAAAACTGATGCAGACCAAAAGCCTTGGTAAATAAATCTATCAACTATTTTAAGTTAGAAATATGATTAACAATCATCTTAGATAACACTGCATTCCAAATGATGTGACAAATAACCACAATGTGTTTGATTCTTTCATGGAATATGGTATAACTAGCAATATAAATGACAGCATGATTGTAATAGTTTAAAACCATAGGTTGTGCAACTAGGATACTGAATTCCTTAAGAAGGATCTTAACCACATCATTTCATATGTTGAGTGTATCATAGCTTTGTAGTGTGCATTAGAGTTTGATTTGACCACCACTATTTATTTCTTACTCTTCTATGTAACCAATATGAAGTACAACGATATGAATTTTCTATCATAGATTGATCCAGCATATTCAACATCATAAAAATCTCCACCATTAAGATGATCATTCTTAATATATAGTGGCCATTTTCCCTCGTGACTTCTTGATATACCTTAGTATATACAACAGTTTTCTAATATTTTATTTGGAAATTTGTACCTGATGACCTAACTTCTACAACAAAAGAGATATATAGTAAAGTGGCAATAAGACAGATCAAATTACCAACCAACCTATGAGCATAAGAAGAATCCTCAAAATTATTAGGCTATTAGCAACATTTTGATCAACAGGTTCGCAACCTAAGAGACCAGTTTCCTTAAGTCTTGAGGCAATTTTCTAGCCTCAATTTGAGGTGCATCTTAAGGTGCGCATCTTGAAACACCTTTTAAACAAGGATATGTACAAATACTTCTGAAGAGAACTAGGTAGACAAGATGTATTACACGAAGAACGTTAAAAATAGATAGAGGACATGCAAAATTCCAAGAATATGAAATCAGACATGTAAAATGATGTAGGTAAAGACTCTTTCAAGAGAGTATGATTTTCAAGTTACTCAATTAATAATATTGTACTATGGCATCATCTATGCTGCTAGCAACCCTTTTTTCACAAACAATACAAACATATTAAAATTAATTGTATTTTATACAAGAAGACTATCACTCTCACGTTTCCAATTCACATCAAGTGGCTAATATTTTTTTCCAAAGCTCTGAATCATCTACATATATCTCATTTATGAAATAAATTGAAGCTAACATATATATATATATATATATAACAACCTAATTTTCTCCTCTAGCAAATACAAAACAGGGTAGTTCAGCCATCCATGACTAGCCCCTAAAGGAATTAACCAATGACTTATACAAGGATAACGTGAAAAAACAATCATCCAATACTGGAAGATCATTATTCAATTTAAGGAAATAAATTCTCAATTAAATAAGAAAGTAAACATTCACGGACCAAAATCTCTTGCAACAAGCCCATCCCAACCATATAACCTTCCTGGTATTTACTTACAAAAGCAAGTAAAAAATGTATTCAGGTTAAACTGCTCCCACAAAATGACTTCCGTAATACCCATGCTTGCTTCACTTTACGTCAAATGCATATTGAAACTATTTGAGAAAGTTTTACTTAAATTTAAATCTTTGAAATTGATGTTGAGTAAATATAACAAATCCTAAGTTGAAGAGAATCGATTATTGTTCTCTCTACGCAAAAGTGTACTAGGAAATGAGTATTTGACAAGATCCAACCTCTATATATAAAACGGCATCCACCATGTGCTCCAGCATACGAGGACCGGCGATATCTCCAGTTTTCGTTACATGTCCAATCTGAAAAGAATAAATAAAACATCAGCATCAGCTAGTTAAAATATGTATCTAGGGCATTAAAACCTCATGAAAGTAACGATCATGAAGCGTCATGCAGTATGCATAATTAGAGCATTCATGCTACCTACTAATTCAAGGCATCTAAACATAATTATAAATGAGCATAAACACATGGTAAATCCAATAAAAAGTTGAGACTTTATATAATAATGAAAGTAAAAATAATAAATCATAATTAATGGCTGATGTATAATTACATGATTTATAATTGCAGCAATAACATGCTTTCATAAACCAAAATCATGCTCTTTACGATATTATTGTTTAAGAATGTTGGATATAAGAAAGCAACTTACAAGGAGCACAGGAATGTTTGTTTCCTTCGCAAAATGAAGCAACTTCAAGGTGCATTCTTTGACCTGTGGCACATTAAATGGATATAAATGACAAAACAAGAGAGTGGGAACACAGTTACTTTATAGTATATGCATAATAAATAAATAGATAGAGATTAGATTTATAGTCATATTTAACCATCAGAATGAAACTAACATACATATATATACAATAATACAACCAATTTATAAGTTCTACATGTACAAGAGTTTGATGCTTCGATGAAATTATAAATCCAGAATGTTAAGAAGTAGCTTCATTGGAGTATTTGAAGTTTCATCTTACTAAAAAATGAACTGCACACATAAACAAAGCATTAAATCCTTCACCACGGAATCAAGAATGGAAACTTCCAATATTGCAGCCCCAACTACATCACCAAGTAATCATGGACAAGAATCTCAAAATAATGCAAACCCCCCGCCATAAACAAGTAATCTTAGCAGGTAATAATAAGACAACGCAACATCATCTCAGGGACAGTTCAACTTAATGCATATTCATTCACACATCAACAAGATTTAATCACCTCTGCACCAAAATCATGGAAATAAAGCGATGTAAAAAGCATCTTACATTGTTAACTTGTTGTAAAGACATAGATACACTCAAAACATTCATTGTTAATTCTCTTTAAGGATAAGTTATGCAACATGAGAAGAGTTCTTCACAATATCAAAGCATTGATTATTAATTCTCTTAAAGGATGAGCCTTCTTTGGGTTGTGTCAAGCTGTAATTCAAGAAATTCCACATAATTTAATGCGATACAGAACTTTTTTTATTATTACTACTGAAAAGTTGGGAGGAACCTTTCTCTTTATAATAAGAGAAAAAGATATAGCAAAAGGCTAATCACAAAGTAAGAAAATAAAAAAATGGTCAAAATAAGATCAATTGGTTTCTCTGGAAGCTGAAGATCAGAAAGTTGAATTATGTGATAGAAGCCTCCTTGCATGAAGCAAAATAAATCCAAAAGTATGCCAGAGAGAGAATCTCAAACAAAAAGAGTACCACAAACAAAGACAACTCAACTTTAATATTGTTCATATTAGAGAACAATCTAGCACTTCTTTTGCTCCACCTAATCCAAATAGTAGCAAAGAAGAATATATATGACAGATCCTTGAAGCTGTGTTTTTAATATGCTCGTGCCCAAGATGAAAATAAAGAAAAAAAAATGCTTCCATGACCCTTATAACACCAAACAATTTATAAAGCCCCTTCCAAATGAATGTCAAAAAACATCATATATTATCACATATTAGGTGATGCTCCACGCTAGTCCTCAAAAAGAATGAAAATAAATGCAATTTTAGTGAATAGTAAACTAAATTCATGGAATTTTATGCAACATTTGCAAGTTCTTGGCAACACAACACTGGAGTGATAGATATCAAACTACACAATCATCTAATGAGAAGTTGGCTAAAGGAAAGAAACTTATGCCAGGAGGCATGGTATTGCTCACTTCAAGCAAAGTTTTCATACTTCATATATTCCAAAACTGTGGTCAATTTTAGGTCTATTTTCAGGTTGGGTATGAAATAGAAACAATCGCCAAAAGCTCTTAGATACATCAAAGTTTAAATGTATTATATTGCCATAATCCAGTGAAAAATCTTCATATTAGGACTGCAATAGAGAATCAGATCTTTGACTAGAAAAATAAATGAAATTTAACCTTCTCTTCTTGAATTGTGTAAGAAAAATCCTCAAAGAGATTACTCACCTTGGAGCATGTGGCATTTAAGAATCAATCACGACAAATGAAACCATAGTCTCAAATATTTTCGGGAAGTCATGTTTCAGATCTTAGAAGAGATGAAATTTTAAAAACTTACTTAAGCAAAATGAATGGCTCCAGAAAGGGTACAAAAAACACATTTTCTCTCATTAGCATACAATACACCTGGGAGACAAACAATAAGGATGTAAACACTAGGCATGTAAAGTACATCAGATAGAATATCTAACCTCCAACTAATGGAGCGAAGGCTATAAACCAGCTCGGGATTTGTAATTTTGTAAAACAATGAGTATATTAGAGAACAGGAAAAAGAATGCTACATGTTTATTTGAAATGTTTTATGAACGAACCTGTGTAATGTTCCCAGCACTTCCTATAACATCTCTCAGGTAAACTGTCTGTATTGAGTCCACAATAAGAGTCTTCGGGGAAAGATTTTGTACTTTATCCAGTATGTCCTGTGAGAGGTGGAAAAGAATTAAGCCAGAAATTAATGCAATATTCAGAACTAGAGATTAGAAAATTGAAGCATTTGAGCAGCTTCTTCATATGCCACACTAGCATTCAAAGCAAAATGTCTTGAATACCAAAACTAAATTGCTAAATACATGGCATTATAATTGATTCAGCATTTAAAGTAACCAATAACTAGAGCAGCATAAAATGCAAACGCATGTTTTATCTAAATAAACTCAAGCATACAGTTCAATCTTCGAACCAAGGTTTTGAACATTGCTGATGTTATCGACGCAAAATCAGGCCTGCATGCTGAAGCACGGACAGTTTCAGCATTCTCAACAACTAAGCGCTATTTCAGGTTTAAACACCCGATAATTGTAGACGTTACCAGCCCACCCAAATACAGCACCACCCTATCCAGATTAATCATAAGAAATAATCCGAGTGCTAAACGATTAAATTGATGGACTATCACCAGCCTACAAAATGCTGTTTCTGCCCACTGATATAAGAGTCTATGTATAGTAACATTACACAAAACATATTTTAACATAAAAGTGCCAATAACCAAATCAACCAGCCAATTTACTTCTAGTGAATCTTTTTCGATAAAACATCATAAAATGATATGATGAAAAGAATGCAAGATACATGGAAGGATGACTTTTTTCATTATGCTTGTAAATACAAATCTTTCATCTGTAACTGAAAAAATTAATTGAACCATAAGATTTAATAAATTATTTCATTTTCATGGATTATATTTCTAGCGTGGTTTAAAAAATTATTTGAGGCATACGCCTTGAGACGACCCTCAAACTTAGGCCCAAAATGAGCGCCTCGAGAATTAAACCTCGGTAGTGCCAGTGAGGCTTAAGCCCATTTTAATGAGGTATACCCCTCTAGGTTTTTTGAGGCAGCACCTTATTTTGATTAATCTTTATATCTTTATTATTATTATTATTATTATTATTATTATTATACAAAGAGAAAGAACCGCTTAAATACAAGACGAATGAATAAGGTTGAATGGTTTTGTTATGTTTAATAAAAATTTAAAAGAAAAACACTTCAAATTATAGAAGTGAATAGCTAGTGATAATGAAATAAATCATTGGGTTGTTAATTATATATTATCTAATGATGAATAGATAATAGCAAAAAATAGTGAAAGATTTCAAAATTGAGGAATGAATTTGATGATGAGGAAAATAAAGATATCAATGCTAATATTTAAATGGCTACTAAATTGTTAATAACATCTAATTCACAATTAATTTAAAGAAAGTAGCAAAGTGGAGTTTAAGCTTCAAAAATATATCAAATGTTGATTTAAATATAATGAATTACTTTGTTGTATTATTAATTTATTGCTTTATTTTGTATTAAATTAAATTCAATGTTAATTAATATGATGAGTTAATAAAATTGAAGAAGCTTTAGAAGATGACAATGAGATAGAATTCAAAGATGATACAATTATTACATACAAGGGCTATTATGAAGAATATGAAAGTAAGGATTCGAAATGGATTATAATCTTTATGGTGTATTTATCTTTTAAAAAAGTGTTTGCTTTGAATATCATTTAAAACTTTCACATTTTATAATAACATTTAATATTGAGATTTGTAGTTTATATCTTTATGATGATGAATCAAATAACTATGTTGATGTTTTGTTTTATTTTTGTCATTTTTATGAATTATTGTTAAGTTCATGTGTTTTTTATTTTTCTATTTTGAGATTACCATCTCGATCTGCCTCAAGGCTTATGCCTTGCCTCGCTACGTAAAAACGCCTCAACTCCTATTTTGCCTTTTTAATCTTTGATTCCTAGTCATCCGTTAAATCATTTTGTGCTACCCTTTTCCTTGTTAAGTGCTATGTATTTTGGAAATAAATTGCACATGCATTGCTATGAGAATTTCCAAGTTCTACAGATTACAAAAGAAAAACAAAAGGAGAGGTTTGTCCTTCCTATTTCAGCAGACTAAGACTCAAAGACCTGCTTGAAGAGCTTTGAGATGCATATGAATGTTATTAGAGTTTCCTTTAAATACTTATGCTTTCATATGTGAATTGATTAGAGAAGATCATTCCAGAATCCATAATCCCGGAAGATAACAATAAAGAAAAATGTAAATTACATTTACAGTTGCCACACAAAAACAGATGCAAATGTACATGCGGGCTCACACAACACAAACACACAAAAAGGAACCCATGAAGAAATGATTCACCTAATGTATTACTTAGCAACCTCCTCTTGGCTTCTGTGTGCCATTTTTCATTAAGATGTACAGCATATTTGTATCATCAAAAAGTAAAAAACCAACACATAATGGTATTCATGCATATTCTGAACGGTCTCCATTTAGCGTACATATATGATGTTGACAGACCACCTCAATGAAATATAAATCTCTGAAAGAAAATTTTGGCAGATAAGATAGAAGGCAAATCTTCTAGATAAACATCATTCTGTTTATGTTAGACCAGCCCAGGATGGGCCGGTTGGACCGGTCCAACAGGGACCGGTCCACTGCTACGCGAGACGAGCTGGGCGGAAACGGCAGCAAGGGGCGGAACTCCCTGTGGACCCCACGTGGGATTAATTCTGATTTGGGAGGGAGAAATTTGAATGAAGGCGGCTGTTTTAGGAAATCCATTATTGTCCTTTATGATTATTTTTGTTTAATTAGGAGATTGGGGGGAATTAGGGATCATCTTGAATTTGAATGAGAAGTTTGAGATCTCTTGGTGTTCTTGGGCTCTAGGGTTTGCTAGAGACTTGTGGAGAGTTGTTCTTCCTCTCGAATCGAAGAACGTTGTATCTTTCTTTGTTTTGCTTTCATTGCTAGTGAAATAAAAGCCGTTTCTTGCGTTTTCTCTCAGATTTCCCTGTTTTCCTGCTGTTTTCTCTGCTGTGGACAGCAGTTTGCTGCTGTAAATTTATTAGTTTGGGTTAGAATTACTTGTGAACCAAGTAATTCCTATCAAATTGGTATCAGAGCATCGATTCGGGGCCACCGGCGGCTGAAATTCTGAAATTTCAGCAAGTTCCTCGTCTCCGGAAGAAGATTTCTGTGAATCCGTTAGAAGAACAATGGCCGGAAAGAAGGTGGACGTTTTGGAAGGCGAAGTTGGTCAATCGAAAACCGATTTGGAGGAGAGATTCTTTGATTTTCAAAATCAAATCACCACTAACAATGAAAGGTTGGAGGGAAAATTTATGGCCATAGAAGAAATGATGAAGAAATTATTGGAGATGAAGACTAATCCGACGACGTCGGAAGCAAGAGAGGCTACCGGAGACCACGGCGTAGGAGGAAATCCGAACCCGCTTCGGGGGGCGGAGGAATCCGGCAGTAGAGATCCTTGAGGGAGAGGACGACATGCCACCTCTAGAGCCACTTTCTAGAGAGGAGATGAGCATGGGAAATTGATCGCGAGGGCGATGTCAGACGGAGTCGAGGTGTGGAATTCAGCGGTACAAGGTGTGGGATCTTTGAAGGCAGGAGGGGGGAATATAGGGAAAGTGCAGATTTTAGCGTAGATAGAGAGAATATCGGCGTCCAAGGTGCTGAATTATGAGCGTGCGAGGTGACTGGATGAAGTTTGAAAGGGGAAAGGGGAATATTGCATGACGTGTCGAAATCCAACGCCGAGGGAGGACCGGGACAGCACGGTCAGGATATTGGGGAGCACCGTCAGCTTCAAAGACGGAAGATGAAAAGGTTATGAGAGAGTAACCGGATGAGGTACGGAAGGATCCGAAAGGTGATAAGTTTGATAGAATGCCATCTTTGAGGGCGAAGATGGCCCTGGTTGAGTCTAATGAGAGGTGGACGGTTACTTCCGCTGTCACGGGTTGACAGATGATGAGAAGCTACGGCGCAGGATTTGTGTCGGAAGGGAAGGCGCTAGGCATGGTATCATGTGGCGAGACAAGAGGGAGCCTATCCGGAGCGGAGAGAGTTTAAGGATTGTTTATTAGAGCGTTTTTCGCAGCCGATGGGTGAGGATGACTTTCTGATGAAAAAATTTTGCTCTAACCGCAGGAGGGACTTGTGGCGCGATTGCTTGGGACAGATTTGAGTAACCCTGGCAAGCAGATTCGATCACATTTTCTGAGTCGTTCCATGGAGAATAATTTCGATGAAGGGGCTCAAGACCGAGATACGAAGCAGGCTGTCAGAGTGCTTGGAGCCAAGGATTATGGTAAGGTTATGGAGCTTGACAATTGGTTGAGGGATCAAGAAGAGTCTGAGAAGAGCTCGAGCCGCAGCTGGCACAGTACTCAGGGGATCGTACAGAAATGACTACTGGGGTCGGCTCATTAGCTCTCAAAGGGTAGCCCGAGGTGGACAAAGGAGCACCCAAGGAAAAAGACTTGGAGGAGAAATATGTGGACGTTCAAAACGGCTGACCGAGAAAAGAAATGCAAGACAGAGAGAGCAAAGGGTTTGTGCTGTCAGATGTGGATGAGAGAGTACATGCGATGGCATAATGGTCAAGGAACGCATCTCTTCCATTTCCGTCTCGTGTTGTGAAGAGTCGAGGAAGAGCGGTAAGAGCGAGCTGGGAAGTGCCCCGAGGTGGAGTGGATGAGAAGTTGCTATGGATAACTCCGCTAGCAGACAGTCTCTCTGATAACTCAGTAGTGGGGACTACTCGAGTCGACACTATGGAGCTGTGAAGGGAGAGATCTCGGTCGCGAGGTTGTGGTCGTTGCATGACAGTGGGATGCAACCCACAATTTTCAGGTCTTCCACGCCAGATTGATAGATGTCTTGGGGATGGAGCTAGTAGATACTGGAGGTACGCGAGTAATGATGGGCGCCGGAAGGTGAGAGATGGGTCGAGGTTGCCCTGTCTAGGAGTAGGTAATTGAAGATTCAAGGATCCATGTAAAGGAAGACTTCCTTCCCTTGGAATTGGGGTACAGATGTCATTCCTTGGATGATAATGGCTGCAAACATTGGAGAGACCTAAAATCAATTGGGAACACTGATGGATGGAGGTTGGTGGTTGGGCAAGAAGTAGGACATTCAGGGTAGATTCCGGGCGACCTAAGGCAAGGTTTTGTCTAAATCCCTCCATCAGGAACCATTCGATAGTGAGGGAGGAGGAGGCTTTCTAGTGAGTTGCACCGCTTGTGCAAGGGGTCCGATTGGATCGAGGAAGGACTAATGTTCCCTCTGCACTACAAGCCGCTCATATACACCAATTCAGAGAGGTCTTTGTCAACCGCCCAGGGTTTAACTCCTCAAGAGAGAGTTGGATGCGATGCATCGACTTTGAAAGAAGTGAGATCGATCAGCGTCCGTCCTTACCGCTTACCCCTAGTATTCAGAAAAGATGAATTTGAATAAGGCTGATCTGGGAAATGCTGGGAGGCAGAGATATCAACCCACGCAACAGCCCTTTTCTAGTCTTATTCTCTTAGTCAAGATCCAAAGGACGGGAGTTGGAGATTTTGTGTGGATTACAGGGCTCTGCGATAAAGGCACTTGTCCAGACAAATTCCCAATTCCTGTGATTGATTGAGCTGTTGGACGAGCTACATGGTGACATGAGTTCTCTAAGCTAGATCTAAAATCTGAAGATACACCAGATCAGAATGAAGAGACGCGATGTTCCAAGACAGCATTCAGGACAATGAAGGCATTATGAATTTTTTTGCTATGCCTTTGTTTTGACTATACGTGCTCCTGCAACATTTCAACTCCTTGATGATCGTTTTGTATTCAAGCAGCACCTTAGAAGTTGTCCTAGTCTTCTTTCGTATGACTTCTGGTGTACAGCAAGACTGTGGAGGAGCACTGGGAGCATTTGAGTAGTGGTATTGGATAGTGCTTCTAGTAGACACCAGTTGAAAGCGCACCTAAAGAAGTGCAGCTTTGCTCAGGCAAGTGTGGAATACTTGGGACAATGTGTGGACATCCCACAAGATGATGCGGATCACAAAATGTTGGGGGGGGGGGGTGTTGTGGGATGTGGGAGAGGGGAGAGGAGAGTAGACGAGAGAAAATCTGAGAATTGAACGAGGGAGAGAGGAGTGGGAGAGTGAGAGTAAAGAGAGAGAGAGAGAGAGAGAAGAGAGAAGAGAGATAGAGGAGGGAGATGTGATTGGGAGAGGGAGGTGGAGGTTGAGAGAGAGAGAGAGAGAGGAAGAGAGGGAGAGCAGAGAGAAGAGAGAAGCGAGAGAGAATGGAGAGGGAGAGACGAGTGAGTGAGGGAGAAGAGAGAGTGAGGGGAGAGAGGGAGTGAGGGGAGAGAGAGAGGCGGAGAGAGAGAGAGAGACTGGGGAGAGAGAGAGAGAGGATTGAAGAGAGAGAGAGAGAGAGAGGATGGAAAGCGGAGAGACAAAGATTGAAGAGAGAGAGAGAGAGAGAGAGAGAGAGAGGAAGGGAGAGGAATGGGGGAGAGGGAAGGGTAAAGTGGAAGTGGGTTACGAGGAGATTGAGAGAGAGATGAGATTGAGAGAGAGAGAGGAGAGTGAACTGGGAGAGAGAGGAGAGAGAGAGAGAGGATGAGAGAGAGAGAGTAGAGATGCAAGAGGAAGGGAATGCGGAGAGATGGGGGATGAGAGAGAGGGGAGAGACGAGATGAGAAAGGGATGAATGGGGAGAAGCAGATGGAGGAGAGAAAGATGAGAGAGAGAGGAGAGTATGAGAGGATGGGAGGGAGAGGATGGAGAAGTGGTGAAAGGGGGAGAGGAGAGGGAGTAAAAAGGAGAGGTTTGGAGGAGGGTGGAGGAGAAAGGGAGAGGGGGGGAAGGAATGGAAAGTGGGAGAGAGTCGGAGATTGAGAGAGAGGGAGGGGGAAAAGGGAGAGAGAGAATGAGAGAGAGAGAGAGAGAGAGATTTGACGAGAAAGAGAGAGGAGAGAGAAGAAAACGAGAGAGAGGAGGTTGGGGGGAGAGGGAAGGGAGGGAGGGGGAGAGAAAGAGAAGAGAGAGTGATTGCGGTGAGAGATGGATGGGAGGAGATGAGAGGGAGAGAGGGGGAGGGAGAATAGAGGAGAGAGAGCGGGAGGGAGGGAGGGAGATGAGAGGGAGGGCAGCTTTTGAGAGAGGGAAGCGAGTGAGGAGGGAGTGAGGGAGAGAGAGAGAGAGAATAGAACTAGAGATTGGGACGAGGGACGAGATAGGCGAGTGGAGCAGATAGACGAGCGAGAAGAGAGGAGGAGGAGAGAGGGAGAGAGAGAGAGAGAGAGAGAGAGGAGAAGAGAGAGAGAGAGAGAGAGAGAGAGAGAGAGGCGAGAGAAGATAGAGAGAGAGTGAGAGAGGAGAGGGGAGTGGGAGAGAGAGAGGTAAGAGAGGGGGGGGGGTAGGGAGATAGGAGGTACGGGACGAGAGAAGTAGTGGAGTAGGCGAGAGGGAAGGGAGGGGGGAGAGGGAGAGGGAGGAAGAAGAGAGCGGAGGGGGGAGAGAAGAGAGAGGTAGGGAGCAGAGAGGAGGAGAAGTAGAGAGAAGATGAGAGAGAGAGAGAGGAGGGCGAGATTAGAGAGAGAGGAGCGGGATGGGAGATAGATGAGAGGGAATGTGGTGGCGGTTGGGGAGAGGGAGATATGGGGGGAGAGGGAGAGGGGTGAAGGGTTTTGGTAGAGAGAGAGAAGCTGAAGGAGAGCGAGAGAAGGAAGAAGATATACTTGTGGTTGTCGAGTTTGTTTGGAGTGTGGGTCGCTTGAGAAGTGGACAGGGGGGCTAGAGAGGGAGAGAGAGAGAAGAAGAGAGGAGAGAGAGCAGAGAGAAGGATGGGGAGAGGGAGAGAGAGAGAAGGGAATGGATTTGGGGGAGAGAGGGAGGGGGAGGGGTACAGGGAGAGAGAGTGTGTAGAGAGAGGGGCAGAGAGGAGAAGGAGAGATGGAGAGAGAGAGAGAGATGAGAGAGAGAGAGACGACGAGAGGAGAGGGAGAGAGAGAGTAGAGGTGGGGTGGAGTTAGAGGGAGGAGAGGATAGGTGATTTGAGTGAGGGGGGGGAGAGGCGAGGATAGGATGGAGGTCGAAAGTGATGGGGGAGAATCGATAAACCATGAGAGAGGGGAGAGAGAGAGAGAGACACATGGGTGCCGCCACTGTGCAACGGATTGAGAAGAGAACGAAGAGAGAGGAGAGATTGGAAAAGCGTGAGAGCAGGATTGAGGAGATTAGGGAGAGTAAGGAGTTGAGAGACCATGAGGGGATGGGGGGTGGTAGAGAATTATGATAAGTGAGAGGGAGGGGGAAGAGATGAAATAGTGGGATAGAGGGGAGATTGGAGAGAGAGAGAGATGAGAGGAGGGAGGTGAATGAGAGAGAGAGAAGAGGAGAGAGAGATGAGAGAAGAGAAGATGAGAGAAAGAGAAAGTAGAGAAGAGCGGGAGGAGATTAGAGGGGAGGAAGAATGGAAGGAGTTGAGGAGGGGAGGAGAGGGAGGAGATTTTTTTTTGGAGAGAGAGTGGGAGGAAGAGGGGAAGAGGAGAGAGTAATTGATAAGAGATGGGATGAGATGAATGAGAAGAGCGTAGGAAAGGAGAGTGGGGAGAGGGAGGGAGCGAATTGGAGGAGAGGTATTGAGGGGGGACTTAGAGAGAGTATAGGGGAGAGAAAGAGAA